CTGTTTAAAACCCCCCCGCGCCTTCTCCTTCGCTCCCCTAGAACGCACCTGCCTGCTGACCTCGGTCTTGTGCCGCCGCGCGCCTTGCCGGCCTGGCTTGAGTTCTGTCTCTCAGACATTTTGGGCACATCGTTCCCTACTGAGAGCTGTTGGCCATTTCTTCTGCCCGGCCCCCCACCCCCCGGCTTCGCCTGCCCTTTCATGTCGGAGCTGCACGTCCCCCTCAGGGTGTCCTCGCCGGCCACCCCGCGGGCAGTGGCGGCCAGGGCACTCCCGCCACACCCTTCCACTTCCCTTTATAAACTCACCGTCCCCTGGTGTGCGCTGTGGCCACATTGATTGATTTGTCGCAGCGGAATTGCAGTTCCGTGAGAGCAGGGACCGTGCCCAGCACGTTCACTGCTGGGACATAGCGTGTCATCAGAAGACACTTAGCAGACCGGTGCTCCATGTCACTTCCGTGGGTTTCAAATGCACTCGACACGAAAGCCCCGTTTCCGCCGTGGCCTGGAAGTCGGCGCGGTGCCGGCGTCGGCCCCCCCGCCCGCCCGGGCCTGTCTCGCAGTCCTCATCTCTCGCGTCTTGTGCTGCAGTCTCCCTGGTGTTCTGTCCTGCAAGTTCCGGTCCGAGCTCCAGCCCTTTGCCTCTGTCAAGCTGTCTCCCAGGACCTGCCCCCGCTGGCTCCTCATGACGCCAGCTCAGCCCCCAAGGCCGGCCTCTGAGAAGGCCCTTGGCTGGCCGCCCGCGTGCTGTCGCCTCCTTGACTGCGTGCCGCGTCGCCCTGTTCTGCTTCACTCAGAGCGCCCCTGCGCCTCTGGGCCTGCCTTTCTCTTCCCTAACTTGCCGTTGAGCTCCTGCGCTGGAACGCCGCTGCGTGAGGTCGGGGGACCCCCTTCACCTGGTCAGCGTGGCAGCAGCCTCCATGTTGTGCCACCGAACCCGCCCCCTTTTTGATTTGCTTTCAAGGGTTGGTACCCGCGGCTCTTCAGGCCCGATGGTGGCGTTGCACTGACTGACTGTCGTTCAGTAGGCAGTGCCAGTGGGCTGCCGCCAGCCTGGTAGCCAGCTCCGGGGGAAAGAGAGGCATGTGTTTACGCAGAAACCTCCTCTTCCAAGGGCCACCCGCCGCAGGGCCACCTTGAGCCATTCGCTTAACTCAACAGTCCAGAGCTGGCAGATGTTGCCTCCGCTGGGTCTTCAAGGGTCTCAAGCCTGGGGAGATAGAGTGGACACAGCTCTGGGAATAATGTCGTCGTACGGACCACCAGATTCTGTAGACAGTGTCTGAGGGCTCGCGGAGCCCCTGAAGCTCGCGGAGGCACCGGGGGCTGCGCCTCTGCCCTGGCACAGGACGTCCGCACTCCACGTGGGGAGGGCCCTGCGCTGCCCCGGGGCGGCCTGCTGGGGCTGGCAAACGAGGCCGTGGCAGGAGGGGCCCGAGGCGGAGCAGGGGACAGGGCGGGCTAGAGGACTGGGTGGGCGAGGGGTGCGGACACTGGAGGACATCGAGGGCAAGGAGTCAGAGGAGAGCTGACAGGGAAAGCCGCCAGCCCCTGGGCAGGCGAAGGGTGCCCGGGCTGCCTTGGGTGGTCTTTGGCTCTGAGCTCTGGCCCTGAGCCTCTGGGCAGAGGAGGGTTTCTTCTCGCACAAAAGGCGGAGAGTTCTAGAAACCGAGAAGCTGGTTTGGAAGTAATCATAAACATGCACAGGTGTCTGCGGAGATGATCTCGGGCCGCGCGAGTTTATTTCTGCCACCGCGCCAGGGCCCCAGCCCTGCAGCTGCGGTGCTTTCCGGGCAACGCCCGGGGCCCCGGCGCGTTCCCCTTGCGCCCCGCCCGTCGTCCTGTAACGAAGCTGAGCATTCGCGCGCACGGGCTTCTCACGGAGTCTGGAGGAGGCTCCTCCGCGCACCGCACGCCGCATCCTGGCCTGGCGGCACGCGGGGCAGGGTGACCTTGCAGGCCTCAGACCAAGGTCAGACTGAGAACCACTCTGCCTGTCGGTCAAATCTTGATGGCGGCTCGTGGCCTTGAAGCCGGGCTTGTCGGACTTCATGTGTTATGCTGAAGACGCGCAGGCGGCTTGCTAGCCTCGTTCACTCTTTCAGCACATGTTTGGTAAATGTCTGTCAGAACCAGTGCGCTGCGGAGACAGGAAAGGCGCAAAAGCCCCTCCTCGCAGCCCAGAAGGCATGGAAACCACATGGGTAAGTTTCTCCTCAAATCCACTTTTAGAATTTCCTTAATGCAAATAGAAGATTGTAATTCTTTTTTCACCTACAGCAGTTTCTCCTCTTAACTTCCTTCCCTGTCTGTAATATATTAAAAATAAGATTTTAAATTCATACTTTGTCAGGCAGTGCAACTGCGAGGCACCGTGGTTCCCCCATCGGCGAGGCGGAGGCCATAGCCTCAGCCGGAGGACGCAGGGGCAGCGTGCACAGCCTGGAACAGGAGCAGCTCGGGAATGTACCGAAGGCCTGGCCGACGCCCCGTTCACGCCACCCCGTCCTGCTGCCCCGTGTACACAGTCACCACGTGCTAATTCACTTCCTCGTTCTACCCTCTCAGAAGCTCCCGTGCCGGGCCACCGGGTCGTGCTCCCCCCGTTTAAAAGCGAGGCACTCCCCTTGGGGGGGAGCGGGGCGGGGGGGAGGTCTGCAGCCCCATGCCCTCCCGGCCACGCCTTCCTCGTCATTTCCTTTGAGCCAGGGGAGATGCCCGGCCGCCCGCCAGACTCCTTTGCCCTGCCTTTCAGGTCCAGTGGCCCTTCAAACCCCGCTTGGACGTCTGGTCACTCTGACCGGGCCCCCCCCCCCCCCCGTCCGGATCTGGCGCTGAAGGCATCGGCTCCTCCTGCAGCATTTATGAGATTGTGAAACATACTTTGGTAACACGTGAGGGTAATAATTAAAAATGTAGGTATTGAGGCCTGACAATGATGGTAATTAAAGTAATAAAGCGCCTTGAAAATAACACGTAATCATTGTAAAGCGCCTGATAAATCTCAACTTTCATTAGTAGTATTGTTGCATACATTTATTTCCCTACTAAAATGTTCCGAGGTGACCATGACCTTTGGTATGGATGGAACGCTTTCCACCACTTTGCCTCATAAAACTTTTGTTAGATTTTTGGTTAGAATTACTTGCTTACAAACTGATTTCTTATAGGCTCTGTGTTAAATTGTTCTCATACTTTAAGATGTGATAACTTCCTTGTTGTAAGAAATACACTAATTCACACTCACTACGACTGATGTGTGATTTGAGGATATAGTTTTTTACTCAACTTTTTATTACTGTTGATTAAAAAACCAGCTTACAAGCCAGGGTATGTATGTGAATACAACAGTTGTTACAAAGTAATATGACATCGTAAGTAGAATTAATACTCTCTATTGCACACCCTCATGCCAATAAGCTCCAAGTTGCTTGTTAAGAACTGTTTTGAAATCCTTTCCTAAGTGCCCCTTATCTTGCAAAACCTGTTTTTCATCAGGATTGGAAGGAGGGTGGACTGATGAAAAGAAGGACATTTTATTTGAGGTTCTCAGAGCACCTGGCAGTTCCTCTGGCTACGCTGCCATCCAGCAAGAGGGCTGGCTACGCGGCAGAACACGTTATAGTCCAGAATATTCTGGGCTTCCCCAGCCGCGCATCTCTTGGCTCTTGGACGGTGCGCCGGGTCAGATCTCCCCGTCTCCTGTGCGATGGAGCCATTGGCGGCGAACTCGCGGTCTTCCGCAGCGGCGGCCCTGGGCCTTAGCTGTGGAGGCCTTATTAGCTTTCTTTTTAATCCTGCTCCTGTTCAGTTCCTTCCTTCTTTCTTGCCCGTCTCCGGTGCGGGTCATCTTGTTCGCACACGCAGCCCGCACCTTGAGGGGCGTCCAGGGCCGGCGTGGGGCCGAAGCTCCGCTGCGGACCCGCCCTGGGCCTGGATTCCAGCCTGGACGCTCAGGCCCGGTCACCCTGCCACCCCGAGCGCCCGCCCTAACAAGCCGTAGTAACTCCTGAGACGTCTTGGGATTAAATAGAATAACTCGTGCAAACTACTGGCGCACAGTAGGCATTCAAAAAACGTCGATTCCCTTCTTACCCCGGCTACTAATGCCTATCAGACTGTATTAAAAACCAGAACCAGACCGTGATGATGCATTTCTTTATGGCGCACTGATGCCAAATAACTAATTTCCCCCACGGGGAGGGAGAGAGACGGCGGATTCGGTGCGTTTTGTGAACTTATTTGTTGGGCTTCCCTTCTTCAGCGTTATCTAGCCTCCTACTCCATAGTTTAGTTTCCATGCAACAAAAACGCCGCCGTTCCAGCGCCCGCGCGCTGCGGCGAGGTTGGCCGAGCCGCGTTACTGCCCTCGCCGCCGGTCGGAGATCGTTGCCGATGACATCAGAGCTCGACGGTTGCGGGGCCCCCTGGCGCCTGGCGGCCCCGCGTCTTGGCGGCCCCCTCCGGTCTGGGCATTTCAGGGGTCGGCTCCAAGCAGCCACGTCACCGCCGAGGAAAGCGGGGCTGAGGGCCCCCCGCGCCCGGCCTTCTCGCGTGTTGATGCGCCCGGCTCGCGTGGCAGCGGGGCCGCGTCTTCCCAAGGGCGGCACCTCCGAGGGGCGGGCGGAAGCCGCAGGTCCCAGGCACCTTTAAGGGCCGGCGCCCGGGTCTTAGCTCGGCCTCCTTCCCGGCCCACCTCTGAACCCTGATTGACAGGGCGCCGGGGAGGAGGAGCCCAAGGAGGCCCGGGAGGAGGTGCCGGCAGGAAAGCAGGGGAGGAGGGGCCGCCTTCCCTCCGGTGGCCAATCACGGAGGGGGGCGTGGCGCGCCTTCTCTCGGAGGGCCAATCAGCGGAGGGGGCGGGGCCCGGCCTCCCCTCCCTCCCCCGCCGTCCTCCGCCCCTCCCCCCATGCCCGCCCCCTCCTCCTTCCCTCCCCGCCCCCCTCCTCCTCGGCTGTGGTTTTGTGTGTGCGCTTCTGGAGTCCGGAGCCCGAGCTAAACAAAAGCAGGAGCCGGCGGGGCTGCCGGAGTTTGCGGAGCCGGAGGAGGAGCGAGCCGCGCTGCGCCCGCCGGGCGGGGGGCTGGGGCTCGGGCTAGCCCACCCCTCGGCGGCCGCTCGGCCCGGTGGGGGCGGGGGAAAGTTTGCCTCGCCAGCCCCCTGCCTGGCGCTGCTTTCTCCCGACCCGAGCCTGTTTGCAAAGGGATTAAGCCGCCGATCCGCGCGCCGGAGCCCATTCCTGCCTTGCGAGGAGCCGGACCGCGCGCCCGGGGCCAGCTCCGATTTCTTCCGTCCAGGGGGAAGGGGGCTCATCTTCCTCGCTTTCGGGAGTCGACACCCTTCTCCCCGGCGGCCCTCCCCCGCGCCCCGCACCCCCTCCACGCCCCCTCCCCCGCCCGCGCCCCAGCCTCCCACCACCCTGCCAAGAGGGAGGCAAAGGGATTTTTTTCTTCGGCGCTTCTTCGCCTGCCCTGTTTATCCTGCCAAGGATCCGGAGACAGGCGGCCGGGTCGGAGCCCGCAGCTGCCCGGGGCCGCGCGCACGAGCCGGGGCCGGGCCGGGCGGCGCGGCGCGGACATGGACGAGCAGCCCAGGCTGATGCACGCCCACGCGGGGGTCGGCATGGCCGGGCACCCCGGCCTGTCCCAGCACTTGCAGGACGGCGCCGCGGGCGCCGAGGGGGAGGGCGGCAGGAAGCAGGACATCGGGGACATCCTCCAGCAGATCATGACCATCACGGACCAGAGTTTGGACGAGGCGCAGGCCAGGTGAGCGGCCGCCTTTTCTTCCCCTTTCTTGGGTGTTTTTGTTTTTCTCCCTCTCGCCGGGGGAAACAATGGGAAGCGGAGCCACACGGCGCTCTCTTTTAAAATGTTGTCTCCTTCCCCGGTTCGCCGAGCAACTCCTCGGCGGAGGCGTGCGGGGGCAGGCGCGTGGCGGCGCCGGAGGAGTCGCCCGGCCCGGCCCGGCCCGGCCCGGCCCGCGGCGGTGCGAGGCGGGAGCGGGCGTGGGGACGCGGAGGCACGCGCCCGCGCCCACGCACACGCCCAGCTCGCGGAGCGCCTCCGCGGCCCGCGGCCGCACTTCGGGCGGCGTTAGAAAAGTATCTCCGAGAGAGCCGCGTCGGCAAGTTGTCGGCAGATCCGGTGTCTTCTCCACGAGGGACCCGTGGCGCGACCATATAAAATGTCCCACCAGCACTTCATTTGCAGATGTAGTGGGCTCCTCGCCTACACCTCAGATTTTGGGTTTTCTCCCCCGATTTTCTCTCCTCCAAGATCAATTTTTCTCGCTCCCGCTTCCTTCCCCCCCCCTTAAAAAAAAAAAGACAAAAAGAGCAGGGCAATTCTTTGTCACTAGTTGTCAACTCTGCAGAAAATACTTTATATTCATTTAATTCTCTTTCAAAAAAAATAGCCGATGGAAAGATAGAAGAGGTAATTTTGCTTTTAGACGTATTTGTTAGTTTTCAGAGACTAGGATATTCAGTTTAACTTTATTGTTTCAATTCGAGTGGGTGAACTGACCTTCCAGGGCACAGGACGAGTGGTCCTTTAAAAAGGGTGGGGGACAAAAAGCGAGCCCGCCGCTCCGCATGCCTCTTTGAGGGCCACTTGAGTGCACCGAGACAGGAAGGAAGGTGCGTGTGAATTTTATGTATTCCAGTGCGAGAGGACTTGACGACCCAAAGGAAACAGAATAAATAAGCCGCGCAGCTTCTCGCCTTAATCCACGGCCAGGGGTGCAGTTCACTGCTCCGGGATTTTACAGTAGATTCTCTTTCAGAATAAAACAGACTCGTCGGCAGCCCACCAGCAGCCTGCCCAAGGCCCATCTCGAAAGGGAGAATTTTTAAAATCCGACGACCACGTATGTGTTTACAGTCGCCCAGCTTTGTTCAGCCCCAGTAGGTTGAAATATCCACGCGCACACACACAATTCCTGTGCCCCAGATGACTCGGTCGTGTGGAACAGGCTTTGTTATCTGCATTTTTGTCTTAGGAAAATAGGAATTTGAGTTGAGAAATGAGAGGAAACAGTTAAAAACGGGGATGTTATGAATCCCACTCTTATTTTAGTTGCTAGTGCATGCAACACGTAAGCTCAGAAGTGCCGAGGTTTACGGGCTTTGAAAACTTGGGAATGTTCAAAGGCTGGACCTAGTCTGCATTTTTTAAAATATGGGAAAGTTTTCCAAAATTATCCAGTGCTCTTTTAGAATTTTATTTTCTGAAGAAAAGCTGATAGGTAAGTGGAAGATTTCCCACGGGCATTTTCTTTTTCAGTCCAAACCGATTTCCATGCCCCTTGCATTGTTCCAGAAAAATGAACTCCGACACACCAGTGAGCTGCCTTCATGCCGGGCGTGAGCCGTGGAAGGGCCGGAGGCCCGGGCACTCACCGCTTTCCTGGGGCGCAGCCCCGCTGCTGTTTGCAGGGCCGTGGGCAGCCGCGGCTTGGCGGGCTCCTTGTTTCACTGGCCAGCGGTGTGGCGTCAGGGAAATTTCTGTGCTCCCTCTGATCCCCTCGATGTGCTGTGGAAACGCAGGATTTCAGTAAAGCTGTGTGGGCTTGCTTTTGTTTTTGTTTTTGTGGGTTTTTTTTTTTTTTACTTTTTTATTTTTGGCTTTTGGGCCTATATATAAAAATACAATTAATGAAAACTATTTTAAAAGGCCTCCAAAGGGACCTTTGATGCATCTAAGGCTTTCCCACCTTTTTTCACCCCTCAGAACTAAATCACCACTGGGCTTTCTCCCTGACTGCGCAGTGCAACTCTGCTCGGCAAGTGCGGGATCTGATTTTCCTTTTGGGGGCTGCACCTTCATGTGATACATTTGTTAAGTACAAAGTAAACCATGAGTATTTTAGACACAATGTAAGTGTGTGTTGGACAGTTTTAAGCTGGTTCCCCCTCTGCTGTGGAGTATAGAGGGCATGCTGCCTGCCGCTTCTGCTCTTCAGGATGGGTGTCTATTTTTTTTTTTAAACTTTCAAAGGCATTAAAAAAGAATTGCCTGCGTCCTGAGTGCCAGGGGCTTTCATTTATCTTTACACATTGATTTTATTTAACACACAGAATTCTCTTAACTGATAGCTGATACGATCAGTATTTTGTTTCCAAAACAGTGTCCTTCTGTTAAGTGCTTCCATAGTAAAATGAAGGGAAAGGTATTGTTTTGTTCCTCAAGTGCATTCTGAATGCAAACGCGCAAAAGAACCAGGTAAATCACAAATCTAAGAGGCAGAGTTGTATTTATTTTTCCCCCAATGGGTGCAAGGTCCTAATTGTAAATAATTGAATTTCAACACCTGCAAATAAGCGTTGTGTGCACAAGAGGCATAATGTGAACACAGAGAAATGAATTCACTCCCCATATGGGTATGTCTGCCCCCTGGCAATGCATTTCCATACTCTTTAACTCGGGGACTGAAATTTTATAAATTGCCAGTTCTGCTCAGAAGACCTTTCAAGCATCTTGTGTTTATGAGAATACGGGGGGCTCTGCGGAGTGAATTCGAGCACATGGACGGAGTAAATTCGAAAACACACACAGACCTAGAGGCAAGGCAGCTCCTAGGCTTGTGGGGGCGACGCAGATTTTCTAAAGCTGTTAACCCACGCGTTGGCTTTGCATAGTCATTGCCCAGGATGGGTTTAAGAATTCCACTTTGATGAAACTACTTAAAAAAAAAACCCGGCTCTGCCTACGTGGACATAATTTAGGTTAGTTTTGTTCTGTAGTTAAATCCCTGCGCTCCCTGCTAATTAACGTGCTTGCTTTTTCTGCGGCGGGCTCCACGTATTAAGTCATAAACCCACTGAAGCGAGCCGCAGAGTTATGCTGGGGATGTAGTTTTGGCTAAGCCTCCTGTTTCCCACTGGGCGTTATCGGCAGTCTCACCCTGGCAGTCCACCTCAGCTGCGATGTTGTGTTTTTCTTGCAGAAAACACGCTTTAAACTGCCACAGAATGAAGCCGGCCCTGTTCAATGTGCTGTGTGAGATCAAAGAAAAAACAGGTAGGACGGAGACTCCGACATGCAAGCGTTTTCTTTGGCCGATTGATTCCCTTAACCAGCAGTCAGGAACCCATTATTTGAATATTAAAATTGCGGAATGGAAGCGCTCTCAGGATCGACCGGCTCCCGGGGCGCCCGTGGCCCGCCTCCTGCAGGCGCTCGGACGGGCGCTGTCGGGCCTTGCTCTGTTTTCCTTCCCTCCCGCCCCGGCCTCCTGGATGCTGGGGCGGACCTCGGGGTCCTGAAGGGAGGCTCATAGAGTGACGTACTTTTCGGGGGGAATATGAAAGTAAAAGTCCGTTTCCTGAAGGAATGTATTTTGGCCCACATTTAAAACACGTCTTGGGGGAGTTGTGTAAAGTTCCCTTTCTTTTCTGTGTCGCCGCCGCCGAAGCAGCAGCGCCCAGGGCCTTCGCCGGGCCTGCGAGGCCGAGCGCCGCCCTCTGCAGCAGCAGCTCTGGCCGAGCGAGGGCCCGTGGTCTCGGGGGGGCGGCTGGGCTGGGAGGGCAGGACACCGCGCGAGGACGCCTGCCGCTGTTTTCCCACTTTCTGGACCTCCTAGCATGGACTGGCACACTCGCAGCACATCCCAGGAGGGCATTTAAATTTTAAAGCCACAATTAAAAAATAGCAGTCATCAATCGGTGTTCTCAAACGGCAGATGCTCTGGAAAGGACGTTGAGCAACGTCCTCGCATTTGTTTGTTTTCATCCTTAATTTCCCAACGTGGGCGAATCTCTGTCTCGTACCAGGAACGTGGGGGCAGGGGAGATGGGAAAACAGGGCACAGAGACGAGGCCAGGGGCTGGTCGCAGAAAGGTGAGCGGCTGCCGGCCTGCGCCCGCCCGGCTGGCTGGCTCTCAGCTGCGCGGAGTACCTGGCAGCCTCGTTATTTATTTATTTTTTACAACAAGGAGTGTAACAGTCAATAATTCATACCTAAACCATATAAGCAAGGGCATGACATGGATGAAAGTGACAATAAATATGATTGCACGCCTGGTTGATATACATTGATAGTTACACATAAAAGGGGGGGTTGGGGGGCACGCAGGGTGGCTTTCTGCGTGAGAGCCCTCTGTGTTTCTCTTTTAAAAAATAAATAGTTTCAAGATGTGACCGTTTGATGGACTATGTAATTACTTGGGGCTTGAATTGTATGAAAAATTAGCGAGCAGCTCCTTTGTTGAACGTTCCTCGCGCTGCACGAAGCATCCCAGACAAAGCACCTGAGCAGCGGGCTTGGACGCCGGGTCGCCCGGCCGGGCCCCGACCCCGGGGCAGAGCCGTTAATTGCGTTATTTTAGCAGCGAGGCGCCTCGTGAGAGATTTGTGGGTCGTGCATACAGATACCAAAGAGCTGTTTCAGTTTGTCATACTTTTTAGTTTTTCTGTTAGGCTGGAACAGGAAGCCTAAGCGCGTGTGTGCATGTTTTCTTCTCTTTTTTCTTCCTTCTCATTTTCTTTCTTCTTTTTTAAAAAAAAATCTTGATGCTTTTTTTTTTTTTTTTACTGTAAATATATGGTTTGGTGAAATTTATGTCTCATCTAGTATGTGTCCCGCTGATCTTGATTCATAAAATGTGGAATCAAGATATAAAAACATGTCTGACAATCCAGGCCACAGAGACTCTGTTTCTGAGGACACTTCATCAGATTTTTACTGAAAGGAAGCCCATCATGGCACTTAACTGTATGTTGTGGCCAAAGTGTTTAATTCCAGGCTTCTAATTAAAACGTACTGAGGCAGTCGATTGGAGGGGGTGGGTCCGAGCAGGGATCTGGTTCCGGTGTGGGCCCGAGAGCTGGTTCCTTATTCACATTAGCCAAGCTCTGGTGGTAGGAGGCGGTCGTATTGGTCAAAACAGTGCTCTGAAGGCGTCATTTATTGCTGACTCTGTGTGTGTGTGCGCGCGCGCGCATGTATGTACGGGTGTGTATGTATATAGTTATTAAAATTTTCTCTCATTTAATGACATTCACATTTGGAGATTTTAAAACTCTAAATCAAGGATCTGTGTGTCACCTCTAGATGACTGTATTTTAAAGAAATACCTTGTCAGGCCCTGTGCATTGAAAATGGTCGGCAGTGCTGCCCCGTGTTGGGGGAAATGCGCGCGTGCACACAGTTTCGGACTGAGAGGGCATCCCTGGGAGGCAGTTAAAAATGAAGCGGGGACGGGGGAGGAGAGAGAGAAAGCAAGCCCCCGCCCCCATCTCCCACCTGTGTGCTGGGCGGGCTGGGGCAGCAGGCACCGCTCCTGCAAGGCTGCGCGTCTGTGGCACAGGTGGCGGCCAGGCCTCTGCCTTGGCGCCAGAGCGTGGCCACCCCGCCCGGCCCCGCGGACCCCGTGCTCCCTGCCTTCGTGTCCGCCTGCGCTGGGCGGCCGGGGCGCGGGCCGCAGGCTTACAGCGGGGCCTGCCTCCCTGGATCCGGAGCTAGCGAAGAGGTGGCGCGCGCCTTCGTTGTGCCTTGGAGCCCCTGTGCATTTCGTGAGGGTCTCCGGCTTGGGCATCGGGGAGGGTGTGGGCTGAGAGGGGGCTTGGTTGGTTGGTATTCTCACGTGAGGTGTGTGGGTTTCGCGGGTTCACCACCTGGCTCACCTGCCCAGGTGCCCCTCCGAGGAGCCTGGTCATTGCATTCATCTGCTGCTTCTGCTCTTCTGCTTTTGTTAATGACTTGAGCTGGGAAACTCGGCGGAGATTCTTACCAGCCTTCGGGAAGTTGAAAGCAGGCACACAATACCAAAGTAGGCAGGGGCCCCGTTACTGGTGATGGGTAGGCATTTAAGTCAGAAATTACCGTGGGGATATTTAACAAAAAGTGTCTTCTCGCTTCAGCGTACGGGTAGGTTTTTATTTTGATACCTTTTTGCTTTTTAAATAAAAGAGCTAAGTGGAGAGAGTGCCTGCAGGGCGCTCGGCAGACAGATCTCAAAGGACAGCAGGAAGGTGCTCTCCGGGTGCCCGGCGAGATGCGCGTTTCCGAGGGGCTCCCACGTGTGCTCCCCCTGGGGCTGGGCAATTGGAGGCAGAGTTCGGGGCCGTTTGCTGTCGCGTGTGCTCTGTTTCTAGGAACCGTTCCCTGTCTTCCGATGTTTTACCTGTGTGCGTGCGTGCACGTGTGTGCTGGGTCGATGGGGTGGAAGAGAAAAAAAAGCCAAATATCACATTTCGTAAAAAGACCTTGATTATTTAGAAAAAACACTTCTTGATGTTTCTTTTTAAGTTTTGTGTCAAAAATCATGTAGTTTAAATATTAGGAAAACAAAAACTACAACTACTGTGTGCCGTTTACTCAGGAGAATATTTATAGATAGCAGTGAAAAGCTGCAACTGTTGTGAATAGTTTTTAATTTCAGAACATAATGGCTCTATATGGCACTTTTCAGCCAGTTTTCTACACTGAAATTAAATCAAATCACTGAAGGAGGTTAAAAATTATTTTTTTGCTTCCTTAACACTCTTTTGTTCTCCGTTCTTTTTTTTTCCTAGTGTTCAATTAACACCCCCATTAGAGAAGTATATTTTTTTTAAAGTCCACTCCTGTATTTCGCTTTGGACCTCCCTTTGCATTCTCGCCTGCCACTCCTTTTCGGTGTAGCCGTTACTCACGGGACGTCTGCCCCTCTCCTTCGAGCCTTAGAGAATCGTTTGCGTGTGTGCGCCCCGTGTGGGTAGGGCCGTGGGAGGCAGCCATGCATCGCAGGCGAAGGGTTCTGGCGGTTTGAGGCCGTGCACACAGAACAAGCGTGAAGTGACTTTAGACAGTTGAGCGCTGCCTGTCGTCAGATGCCTTGTGCCGGGGAGATGGCTGGAGTGACTTTTCACAGAAGTTTGCCTGGAGCAGAACTCAAGTGTGTGTGTTTGCACGCGGGTGTGGAGCGTGCGCGTGTCCCCCCAAGGGACAGGGGCCGGGAGGAGAAGGCCGGGGCCAGCAGTGTCCGGCCAGCCTCCCTGGGCTCTGCATTCGAGGCGCAGCCGTGGGGTCAGGCCGGAGTAACGTGATCGGGCCATAAACTATTTATCATCGTGTGGACGTAAACCATGACTCCGGTCACTTTGGTGTAATCTATTTTTCACCAAGCTCTGACATCCGAGAGGTGGGAGAAGGGCGTGCAGGGGACTGGGGTCAAACCCACCAGAACGGGATTTTTGGGAGTCGGGTGGCCCGTCGTCTAACAAGAGGAGTGTCTGTGAGGGTTGGAAAGGCGAGACCGAGGACGCTGAGGGGAGGTGGGCGAGACGAGGCCCGTGACCTGGGAGGGGCGGGGGTTGGGGCCGGAAGGGGAGCGGGCTGGCTCCCCACGGCCGCTGCCGAGGGGGGCGCGTCCCTGCCAAGCAGGTCGCCCCGGTGCTGCACTGAGACAGGAATTTCCGGTTGTCGTTGCTGAAGACGACAAAAAATATCCCAAATGAGCCAACAGCCCGAAACCTAGGCGTTGAACATACAGGGTCCAGCAGAAGGAAGGCCCGCTTGTGTGGGGTTGGTAGGGTAATAACGTTGGTGTAATAATTTGTAGTTTTAATTCGAACATTTCACCTAAAATGTCGTGTGGTGTGCTTGAGTGCAATAATATGCTACAGGATTACCTGCTTATGATTTGTAATAAAAGACCTTTATGAAATAAAACCGGGGGCGTTCCTGGTGCCGGACCCTGCGTTTACATGGGAAGGCATTTTCATTTTAACCCAAAGCCTGAGCTGGCTGCTCCCGAGAGACCTGCTTTGGGGACACTCGGCCTCAGCGTGGGGTTCAAACGTCCCATGCACGGACGCTGTCACTGTGTTTTCAGTTCGGGGAAGCAAATCTAAATATAGCTTCGTTCCTTTTCCTTTTTACACTTTTTTCTGCTCACACACCACCTGATGAGGCAGCGTCCCAGGCCCAGCTCCCAGAGGCAGCTGTGGCCCGTGGGCACGTGACCCTGCAGCACCCTTCCTCGGCTCAGCCTGGGCTGCGGGAGGGGCCGCGCCGCGCCCCACCCGGGGTGTGCGGT